TTTCTGCGAATTTGTCTTTGCTGCTTTCGCCACTTCCTTTCCTGGCGACTCATGTGGTAGTAAGTTGTCGGGCTAAGCTCTTCTAGGTCTGCTTCGTTATCCTTATTGAGCTTGTATACTGCTATTACGACTCTCTTCCACCATTTTCCTAGGTACTGCAAGGCCAACTTGGAATTCTTCTTATTGCCATTAACGATGACCTTCCCCAAAGAGTATGCTTCAGCTAGGTCGAACTCCTTCTTCAAATTTCGCTTCGCTCTCTTAAATCCTTCCTCCCACGTCATCTTACTCCTACTTCCTCCTCTTTTATTCACTAACTCTACTCCGCTATTCTCCCACTTCTCTAACTCCATAGGTTCTACTTCTAACTCTTCCACATCTTCACGTCCCACTACACTTCCTTCACCTTCCGTTTCCTCCTCCTCAACTGTCGTATTCGTAGTCGTCTGGGGTATCGTCAGGGACTGACTCTTCTCTAGGGCTGTCGTATGGTTCTGAACTAGAGTACAAGTCCTCTGCCCATCGCATTGGTCTTCCTGGTCTTCCTCTTCTGGCAACTCTGTCTCCTCTGCGCATCCTATTCCTACTAGCTGGTCTATGTCTGCTCTCAATTCTTCTTCTGTTGGTATTAATCCGTCGTATTCCATCAGTAATGGATCTGACTCCACTACTGCCGCTGCTTCCGTTGTTGTTGTCGTTGTCGCTGCTGGAACTACTACTACTGCTGCTGGGTTCACTACTGGCTCTTGGCTCGCACGGCGATGCCTCAAGTAAGTAGATGTCGGTGTTGATGCTGTCTCTGTATGCTGGATTGGTTCGGACGATGGATACAAATTCGAGGCCCATAATCCATCTGGCAAACTCCCAAGTCTCTCCTCGGCATCTGACTGGGTAGTTAAAACTGTCATAGTCTCTTCTCCAGACGGATTGGAGTTCCACCAAGCTATATCGGGCAACCACTCCTCCTCGACGGTAGTTGTATATGGTGTACACCCCGTACTCGGTGCACACCCCGTGTCTAAAGTTGTCTCTGTCAAGGAAGGGAATAAATGGTATAAGTTCATGTCTAGGTAAGCTTGGCCTGGTGGCATAGTACTCCATGTTTGCGCTAATGCTTCGTCCGACCCATTCCTCGAAGTGTCGACTCTTCCAATGGTCGACCTGTTTCTGATAGAGGACACACTCAACTCTCTTGTTGTCCCTTCGTTCAATGACGTAGTAGTAATCGGAGTAGTATATTTGATGATTGTATTCGGCGGTGGAGAAGAGGGAAAAGAGTCTTCCCAACTCCTCATGGTGTCTGAAATCGATGCAGGTACCATCGAAGTTAAATAAGCTGCGGTCGTCATCCCAGGCTGTAGGGAATTGCTCGTTTCTGATCTGTTGCTCGGCGATGAAGAGGTCGATGTTGTCTTGGACGGCGTAGGGGATTGATGCTGCATAGTTGATCATTTTCGTTGAGGTTGATGTTGATGTTGATGTTGGTAACTGATTGACTGATTGATGTAAGAGTTAAAGTATTTGATCAAAGGTTTGTTGTTGTTGATTCGATGTTGTTTAGTACACTTGTCCTTGCAACTAAACTCGGTTGAAGTATGGATAATTGGTTAAGGACACACTCTGCTTATATAGCTTCAGGCGTCCCTTCAGCTACTCCGCAGGTGATTAATATTACTGGCTGCAGAACGGAGTGATTTGTAATGTTATCGCGTTCAGGCGTTCATACGTCCCCATCTACTATTAGGTTTTCCTTTACCAGAAAGTACTAATCCAATTGCTCTGTGTCAAACGATGACAATCCAATTATCCCCAAGATCATTGTAAATCGTCTTGATCTTGTCTTCCAAAAACTAAACCTTCTGTTATCATGCGGATGCCTTTTCTTCCTAAATTAGGGTGTCATATGGTGTTCGCTTTCTAATTTCCCCAATCTATTCTCTAAATTTTAAAGCACATGGGATTGTTCTTCATCTATTTTGGTTGTTTCGTCAAACGGTCATTACTAACTTAGGTTGTCTTGGCATCATGCTCCTCTTTTGTGAAACTCCTAATTTGTCCTTGTGATAGTGACTTTGTTAGTGAAATTTTCACTATCCGTATCACTGAGGGAATTTCAATTGTTAGTAGCACAAACATTATAAATAAATTTGTGCGAGGGTCGCTCATGCCCTCCTACCGCTATTGGCTCATTAATAATATATATGCGCTATTTATGCTACTAGTGATAAAAATATAACAAGATAATCTGATAATCATGATAACTTGATCTCTACTAACTCTTC